TGATCTTCACTCCAGGAGTTGCCTTCATTTGCAGCAGAAGCTGACAGCTAAATCTTTCATGGTTTCAGGGAGTGGGACAGAGATGTTCGATGCCTTCATCTGCTACTGTCAGAAAGATCTCCAGTTTGTCCAGGAGATGATCAGGGAGCTGGAGCAAACCGAGTTCAAGCTGAAGCTCTGCGTGTTTGATCGGGATGTGTTGCCAGGAACGTGTGTGTGGTCCATCAGTGGAGAGCTCATAGAGAGGAGGTGAGTGACCGTGGCTGCCTGGGACAGGGCAGTGTGATGGAGCAGTACCTGTGTTTCACCATCCTGCCTGCAGCCTGCTGCCAGCCAAGCAGTAAAACCCACAAGGATGTCTCTGTGGGGCTTGTTTCATGCCCTTGGCTCAGGGAGGAGGACTCGAGCATTTCCAAACATGCTGCTTCCTTGTGCTCACGAGGAGGTTGCCACTGCAGCGATGCTGCCTGTGTCTGACCCCGTTGCCTTGGCTGGGATCTCCTGCAGCTGCATCCCTGGAAGTGGATACAGCCCAAAGCTGAGTTAGCACCACCCCACAGTGTGGAGTTGGAGGGGATGGGGATGGTGCTGGCTCAGGCACTGCCTTCAGGGGTCCTGCAGACCTGTGTGGCACCTGGGTGTGGTGGGAGCTGTGGGACATAAAAGCAACTCCCCAGGTAGAGAGTGAAGACTCCCAAGGCTTGGGGGTGTCTTGATGTTTGGGTTTTAAACATCAGCCTTTCCCCATGCGACACTATGAGCCTGGGGGAAGGGTGGCTGGAAAGCTGCTTGGTGGAAAAGGATGTGGGGGTGCTGGTCAGCAGCCAGCTGAGTGTGAGCCAGCGTGTGCCAAGAAGGCCTCAGCACGTGCTGAGGGACAGGGTTTAGTGGTGGGCTTGGCACTGCTGGGTTAATGGTTGAACTTGATGATCTGGAAGGTCTTTTCCAACCAGAACAATTCCATGATTGAGAAGGAGGTGGTGTGGCATTAACAGAGACCCTCATAAGGCCTCAGTGTCCTGGCTGTTGTACAGGGTAGCCTTCCAAAAAGAGCCAAATAGGGAGCTTACAGCCAGGCACCTCCAATGAGCGTAAGCAACAGATTGCAGAATAAAGCTCAAATTTGTGAAACCAAGTGAATTCGCAGTAATAGAAGTACAATAAAGCTGGATGCAGTTCATTCCAGTATTAAAATTGACCCATTATGCTCAGCCAAAGGCAGCATGTAAGCAGATAATTACAAGCAACACCATCTTCGTTGTATAGGCAGGGGATGAAACCAAGACTGCACAGACAATCCAGACTTGGCCATTTCCCCAGTTTCTGGTGTCAGG